CGATGTTATTGAAATTGTTCCATTTCCTAGATTGAAAGTGGCCATGCCAGTATTCTCAGGAGTGGGCCTTAAGCCACCCACATTGAAAAGCCCTTATTAACGACAATATCTGTCCAGATTCAAGCCTTAAGGGAAATTCTCCATGTGCCAAGCCGGGAAATACTGTGCATATCTGAAATATTACTTCTTTGTTGAATTGGATGTAATTTCTGTAATGGACCGAAGGGCTATTTTGACTGTGATGGAAACAGTACTCTATTATATTGTCATAAAAGTGAATTTTTTTTCCTTTTTCAGATTGCTAATATTCATCAGTACAAAAGAAAATGATGCAGAATTTCAAAGGATAATAACTGATAGATTTAGGAATATTATGCATTCTTCTGAGGCAAAGAATAGTATTATTGATGTTCTAAAGAAAAAAATGATGTTCCCTTGATTCTCATTTTGAATCACAGGTCATTTTCTGATATCAGAAGCAACATTGTAGTTGGATGTTATTAGTAGTATTAAATCATGTTTTGCAAACCATAAATTCTCTTCCTAGAAATACATAATTTATATAAATGGTCAGATGATGCAAGTCACACTCACAGTCTTTGGAATAAATGGGAATTTGACCATTCTTTTGAACGCTTGCAGCAAAGTCAGTCAGTCTTTAAAAAAAAAACAAAGGGCTCCTGCCCAAAGAAGTCATACGTCATGAGTTGACAGGCCAAATGTGCTCCCAGCTACTGGTTAATTCACAGTAATTACTGTGCTTTCCGTGGTTTGACTCACTGATAACAAACAAAGCAAGAATGTCATGTTTGTTAAAACACTCCCTTTCAAATTTTGACATGATGAATAAATAATGGACATAACCATCGGTTTAACAATGTATCAGTTGGGAGTTTACATGAATGTCAAATGAATTAATAATCATATGTGCCATGGTCTTGTGAGAAAAATTTGCAGAGCCTACTTCCGGATTTAATCTAGCCTGGGGCTGAAAAGCCTTTGCAACAAACAGCATCTGATGCTTTGTTGTGATGCTAGTTGGACAAGAGTTTGCTAAGGGAAAGCATCTGTTATATTTGCCGAAATAACACATTAGAAAGCTTGCATTTTAACACTGTTGGACATTGCATGATATAAACATATACAGTTTTCATGCAGCTTTTGAATTAGAAAAATGTGTATTTAGTGTGACCACAGATACATTTGTGAAAGCTGAAATACATGCAAGTAATGTCTGATTGTGGTCATTCACATCAAATTGTAGTACAGTGGAGTTTAGATGAAATAATGCATTTTTAGGATATATATTTTGGATGACAGAGTTTTCAGCAATGACTACCTCAGTTGTATGTGATTAGTACTAGGAAGTCAGAAAGTCACCAAACAGCACAAAAGGCAGGTCCTGACTAATAGGTATGAGTTGATCAAATCACGGCCCTTTGACTGGGCAGGGGAGCCCACTGGACGAGGCACATTTGGACCCTTATGTCACAGATTTTCGGTCCTTCACTGTGTCAAATGTACTGGAAAAATCATTTACATTCTGAAGTGGGAGCAACGTGCATTCCACTTGGCTGGAGAGGTGGGTAATCCACAATGGGAACTTCTACAACCAGTTGCAAAAGGTTTCGTCTGCAGTTGCCAAGAACTGTTGCTACTGCTGCACGGTGGAATGCTCTAATATAAGAGACATGCACAAACATTGATGGTGTATAAGTCTACACTGTGTTTGCCTGTAAGTTGTATTTCAGGGCTCGAAAGACTTTTTTTCAGGCTCGTGCAGAATTGCATGTTGGCAGAAGTTTTAGGTGCAATTAGAAAATTTTTGTGCAAAATGATGTTTAGTCTGTTTTACTGTGTGTTAACCTTCTTAGCCTGAAATAGCATATAGAAGATTATATATGTATAAAAAATTAAAAATGAAAAGCCTTATTTATTTGAAACAAGAAAAAAATATCAAAAGAAACTTCAGAGATACACAGTGCAAACATGATATATCAGTATTTTTTAGTTGCAAAATATTCAAAATATTTTTTACATGCAAATCTTGAAAATCATGTTGATTTTGCACATTGCACCTGGGTATTTGGAGCCCTGTATTTCCATGCATGTTGACCTGTTTGATCTGGGAGCAAGCCCTGCACACTTCTGGCCTCTTGAATGGAGTGTGTAACTCAGGAGCCCTCCACTATTCTCATGCAGGAATAACACTAACCAATACTTGAGATATCTCCAATATATTACTCACAATTGGCTTATGTCCGGCTGTTGGACTGCCAGTTTTCAGGCTCTTAATTTTCTTGATCTCACAGCATATTAGAAAAGCCACGTCATCTGTAACGTTCAGTACTACATGATAGATTTAAAGATACCAGTGATTGTTCATGTTGAAGAAAGGATGCCGTATATAGCCCTTGTTTACTAACCCACCCTGCATTATTTACTATAAGCTGATTAGTTATTAATGAGGTATAACCGGAAGATGATTAGGCAGTGTTCATGTTCGAAAGAGGGGTGTCGGTAGAGAAGCAAAGTTTTCACAAACACTCACTAGTGCTCATATCATTGTCAGAGTATTTTGGTTTTAACTTTTAAGGCTTGTACAAATACCAAGTAGCCTTCTTTTGAAGTTCTGTCTAGCTCTGCTCAGCTCAAAAGTTAGTTATATGGCACCAAATGCTGTCTATGTATGTCTGAGGTCTAACCTCTCCAACAAGCAAACAAACCACAGTCCCTACTGCTAGCACTTGTACATTGCCTGAATGAAATTATTTGAATAACAATTCTTGCTCATGTTAATTACTCTCATGTTGTTAGTACAAAAATTAACATTTCCATAGGCAGTTCTGTTCATAGTAGTGGTTAATGACCCATTTCACACTCCTGGAGCCTACAGGTATCTTCTAGCTTTGTTCATATTGCCAGAGTCAATGTTGAAGGAAATGTCAACGTGATTTATTTGGTCCTTTGTGAGACCGGAGTGTTGTTCCTCTCATCAGTAGGTTTATGGGTTTATTATGGTGTGTTTGTGGTTCACAAGTACCCACCGGCACTGATAAGAAAAGTTTGTTTGAGATAAGTCAGGATGTATTGGCTTTTGGATAGAAAGAAGGGCCTAGATACCGGTTCTGATAACCTGAGGTGCGTATTTACATTTCTCACAAGTCGGCCTTTGTCTGCCAGTGAAGTAGTCTGAATAACAACAAAAGGTGTGCGGCCGCTCATCTCTATCTGTTGTCTTATCATTTCATTGGTGGCATCCCCCAGCCTTTGAAATACCTTTTGTTGACTTTCGAACAATAGTCAGGTTGGTATAAGAAAAACTTCAAAGGGTAGAGAGAACATTTGTTGAACTTTTCTATTTTGTAGTAAGTTATGATTAGTTAGTTTGTGGCCTTCATAAGATCCGAAATGGCTTGCAATAAACTTTACAGCCGTGGGAACTAACTTTGATGTTGGAACTTTGAAAACAAAAAAGCTGGGGCCAATATTGTACTAAATTCTGATACTGTTTTGTGCCAGTTTTCCTTCAATTGTCTTGGCAAAACTTGTAGAAAAGAAAATATTGTTGTCTGAAAAACAAATGCTTCCAAGGAAGCGTGAGTTTATGTTGACATGTAAAGAAGGAGGCCTGAGGATATTTACTAAGCTTGACTGATCTCAGTCCATCATTTTTTAGCACATTGTCTATAAGGGAAACAAATGTGTCTGTTTTGTCACCTCTGAGGGTGAATTTAGCACCTTTTAAATCACTGCTAATGGATCATAAATCAATGATAATGATAGGTTCTCACACCCATTCAAATGAAGGAAGAGTGTTTGTGTATTAGGAACTACAGACTTTTTGTCCAAGGAGAAACTGTGCAAAAAAGTTCTATCATGAAGAACCCGAACACTTGAAGCAGAATTTCACAGATTTTTACCACAGTCCAGGATTCATTTTCAGATCATGCTAAATGTAAACTCTACAAAAGCACAAGATAAACAGTGCATATGAAGTTGTTTCAGCACTGCAATTGAAACTATTCCATGTTATGTGGCAGAGACATTCAATGCTAGCATATGGTGGATAACATGCGCCATAGCTCACGCCTCCAAAAGAATTTTGAGTGGGATCATAACCCCAGACTTTCATTACCAAAAGCAGAATCATAGTGTAGCCGAAGAACAATCTCTGGACCAGGCCGGACAGTTTAAAGCGGAGTAAAAAATGTCATTAGCAGGAACTATGCTCCCCTGCCGTGCATTCTTCTTGAGTCAGGCCTACTCGCTCAAGCAAACAATGTGTGTGCAGTCACATGAATATTCACCTGTGGAGAGAGATTTTCCGCTTGGGCAGTTCTTCATAATGAAGGGGGAAAAGACTTCCTAACGTGGAAGGGCCTTGGAGGGGACAGACACCCCTGCGATATCTAGCAAACTTCTGGATATATTCAGAGTTTCAAGTCTCAATAACACTTTGTTCAGAAGGGAGTGGGTTTTGTTGGCGTTAACTTCATTTTGGACACAACAAAGCAGCATATTTGTGGTAATAAGAAATGTTTTCCTTGGGATGTCTGGTGAAAGACCATGCAAGGTGCACAGAAAATGATGAAGCAAGTGGATGTAGACGGAATCAATTTATTTCAGCTGTCTCAATATCTGTTGTCTGGCCACTTAATTGTCCATCTAGCCAAATAAAAAAAGACTTCCCCTGCGTATGTTTTTCTCATTCCGTTTTTATAGAGTTTTACAGGTTTCTGAAGAACCCCCTCTGTGACCCTTGTCCTGATTTTGCTAACCCTGTCCTAGTACAAACACAGCCTCATTGTTTATTTATTAACTCAAGCACAGGGCTGTGCTAGGGGAGGGACTTAGGGATCAGCCAATAATCACGACAAGGCAGCCGATTTCTTCTAGTTGTTGTTCAAAACAAGTTGCTTCCAAGGCTTACCTTCGTCCCAGCATATAAGCCCAGTACCGTAAGGTATTTGTCCGATAGGAAGTCATCAACAAGATGGTCAGTCTTGGAGACTCAGACAGCTCACCCCCTTTCCTGAGTAATGGTTGGTCCCTTGTTATGGTGAGTGCTTCCTAAGCCAGGAGCCAGTGAGCAGGCAGCGGTGTGGGAATATCGCCAGCACACTGTGTGTGTATTGGTCGGCGGACACAGGCAGGCAGGTCCCTACGCTAGTCCGAGACACTGTTTCTTACAACCACTGCTTGTTGTACAAAACCTGTTTTTTGCTCGTGATATCTTTTCTTGTTCTCGAGACCAGCGTCAGACTCATGTGGCATTGATCAAGGGTGACAACGTAAAATTCTGCCTTTGTCTGAGCGAGGATAAGTGTTTACTGTTGTGATACATGCGAGGAGGTTCTTCGATACATGTGAGCTGCAACACGGGAGCATGGTGTACTACCACTACTATTAGACTTTTCCTCCACTTGCTGTGCTTTCTACAAGTGATGTCAAGTGATGTACTGAAGTAAGGCTCAGTTCAGCAAGCTTGAAGGACTTGGGACTTGCCGTGACACTTGTGCTTATTGGTGACTTTGTTGGTGGCCGGCGTTCTCATTATGAAGCTGTATAATGCCTATGCCTACATACAGGATGATGCTATGGTAAGTAACATTTACTACAAGGAATCCTCAATGAACATGTGTAGCCAAGGTTGAGGCTTTTTCAACTTGATGCTTGTACATGTATAGGCAATTTTGTTTCATTGTGTAGCATTTTTACTATTTTTTAGCTCATGATAAAAAAAAAAGGCAAGGCTTTAATTACCCTGCATATCCTTTATACATATAGTCTTGGAGTCTATGTAAGAATATCACCAAATTTCCCAATGCACAGCAAAGAGGATAGATAGTTTTCTTTGTCTGGTAACATGCATGTCATGAGGTAGGCAGCACAACAACGGCCCACATGTTGGCATGCATGTTGTGGCACAGGCACTTGCAGAGTTAGGCAGTTTTTCATGAACCAGGTATGTGGGCAAATGACTTCCTGAATTGGGTTGAAAATGGAACAAAATTTTACTCCATGCGATTTTGACTTATTCTATACTGTTTGTAGGGCAAATTTCTTTTAATGCCTGTCTCTTAGTTGTGAGTTTCTGAAATTGAATAACTGCGATAACAAAGATGTGAGGCCTTTGAAACAAAAGAAACCCACGAACGACATTATAGACTTTCCACCGCACATACTGCACACTAAAGTGACAAATTTGCCTTCCCAGTTTGGTTAGTCTTGTTTGTCTGGCTCGGTTTATTTGAGTGAGAAGTTAGTTTTACAGGAGTGAGTATTTTTGTAGGGTTGGATTTCACTTTCTAAACTCCCTTCCAGGTGTTAAAGCCTTAGCAGGAATTTCTAAAGGTAGAATGTACCTACATGTATGTATTGACATATATGTGCTTGTATGTACTGAACTGAAAACAACAAGCTAGTCTGAACTTGAAGAGAACATATTTCTATTATGAGTGTGAGTACTAGTATGTTGTCCATGTTTGATTGAAAAAACAACAACCAAAAAAACAAGTATGTTAACTTGAAAGGAACCTGGTATAATATTGAGAATCGTAGGTTCTTATTTAATTTTACTGACTTGTACGTATCAAAGAGGAATAGTCTGTGTCTGGAAATCAATGTTGCATAGACTGATCAAAAGGTACCACTGCCAAGTGGAGAAACTGGAGTTGTTCGGAGAGTTTATCCTATAGACCCTAGTTGTTTTGTTTGTCTATGGTGCTTTACTATGTAGCACATGGGCCACAGTATGTAGGCAGGTTGGGTTGCCGCAAAAATATTTAGGTATTGTGTGAATTGATCCCTGAAATTTGTCTAGGGAGGCACTGAAATGTGCATCAGTTACCTGCTGTTCTGGGCCTGCCTGTAGGATAATTTACCGGCAAATTTGCGAACAAAGTGTAGTTTTGTGTGACTAAAGACATCTTCCTAGATTTTACTGCATGTTGTATTGTTTGAAAGCCAGTCCGTAGTTAGAAATATATCTTGCAAATGGATGAAACTTGTGTAAGTGTAAGGTGGACAGTGTTGGTGTACAATGTATACCTGTTAGCTGGCAGTAGATGTAGGTTTTGATGGTATGTCACAGTTTAGATTGTAGTGCACATTCTTCCCTCCAAGCAAGTGTTGGATTTCTGGTAAAATATTTTGCTTGTAACCTGCACTTCCAACTGCATGATTAGGAATTTAGAAAGTGCAAGCGCCCGTTCCTTCCAATCTTTTCAACATATCAGAGCATGAACTTAGGACAAATATATAGTATTCTCCTGATGAGGGTAGAATTCCTTCATAACCATTGTACTTCAAACCTGTAGTGTGATCTCACTGTTGCACTTTTAGTGGAATTTGGGGCTCAATTGACCGCAGGGAATCTTTGGAATCTTGATGTTCAAGGGTAAAGAGACGCGAGGCAATGAAGTGTTTGACTGGGTCTGACATTTACAGCACTAACACTTGTGGTATGTCTGTTGCGTTGGCATCAAAAGTCTGGCACAGTCAAGGTGATGTGCTCTTTAAAAGATTACTGTTGCCTCTTGATATTAACTTGTAATGTGTTTTAAAAAAAAGGAATATATTTGCGGTTTTGCTGTCCAGTCACTCATTCATTTTTAACTATAACCACGCCCTAATATGATGAAATTACCAGACCAAAATTTTACTTCAATACAAATGAAAACTGGTATAGCGTGAGTACAGTACAGTTCTTGAACTTGGGCAGTTTATGACTTGGCATTGAAAGCAGACTGTACTTTAGGGAGCCTCGGCTTATGTAATATGTTCCTTTTGCAGAGTGTAATTTTATTATCTCCTATTATGACCGTGGCATTTGAACTTGTCCTTATAATAAATCCATATAGAAGCTAGTCCCAATTTCCTGACTCTTGTTATGGTTTCGACAGTGAATTTCACAGTTCAGTTGTGGAGCATGTGTTCGGACAGACACACATTAGTTTCCCACGCTGTAGTAAACAGCCGTTATGCAGGGAAAACATGGCTTCCAAACCAGACGTGGGACTTGGTTTCCGCCCGTAACAATGTGTAGTCTTGTAGGGATGGTGGACTCAGACTAGGGTGTCAGTGTTAGGAAGGTAACTCTCTCTTCAGGTATGTCCTGTGGTTGGTTGGACTGTTGTGGTAAACAGGTTACCTCATGGGAAAGGCATGGCGGTTTGATGTCTGTGATTGACAGTGGATCTAGGGCGGAAGGTAGTGGTTCAAGGTGCCATGACTAATAATGGTCAAACAGTTTATTGGAAACACAGCCCTCTTTTATAGAATGATTGTCTTGGATGTTTTTGATCAAAGTATTGTGAAGACTCTTAGTAAGTTAGTTGGTACAGATGTCAAATGTGAAAACAGGATTTGTAGTAAACAGTTACATCAGGTGGATGGTATGGTACATTAGGGAGACCTGATTTCCATGCACCGGTGGAGACAGGAAGATTTTCTAGAGAAGAGCACTAGTAAGTCACTAAAGCCTGTCCTTCAGGAAAATGTACTGTGGAAACTTCTTTCCTAAAGAAGATTGGCTGTTTTTCCTTATAACAGAAAAGTTTTAGTTCATTCTTCGAAACGACTTTAAACTTCCTCTGCAAACACATTATCTTGACAAAGCCTGTGTTGTGCAAATACCATTTAAGCTATTTGAGCAATCATAACTGGCAGGGTGTTTTGATTTGTTGAGTAAGTTGCATGTCGTGATTCGGCAATTTCCTGGAGGAGATCGCAGGTGACCGCAGTGTTTGTCACAGTCTGCTGATGCACCTGTGTCACCTGCCACCCAGGTGATCAGCACAGGTGGCAGAGTTAAGCCTTATCAAACCTTTATTAACATACTTAAAGTAACATTCATCATAATATTTGGTAATGCATTTTTATTGAGAAAAACTAAGCATTACTGAAACACATGTTTGCCATATTCAAGATGTTATAAAATGTAACATCAATTTTAAATGTCTAAGAATGATAGGCGGCAATACTTAATCCTCCACTTAGATATAAGACATCATTAAATGCTCTACAAATGCGGACACAGCTAAGTATACTGGTAATAATTCCAGTAAGTGCTGGTGGCACTTCTCGTATTTGGACTTCCTTTCTCCCTTTAGTCCTGGTTATTTATCTAGCCTTAGCTAATTCATCAGGAAATGGGTCCATGTTGATTTTGAGGCTTTAGCAGTGAGGTGTGCCAGCCCTCACCTGTTTGGCACTCCACCTGCCAACACTGTCACCTTTGTCTGAGATCCTCCGTCTTAGCAGGTGATCTGTTCTGTCTGGTGGAAGGACTCGTGTCTTGTCATGTTGTGTCGTGAAATGATACTAGAAGCATACAATGTAATCGTATCATTGTTAATCCTTTTCGTACCTTAAAAAGTCAGTGAGCTGCTCTATGAATTATCTCCTCCATTTGTTACTCTGATATCCTTTGAAACTTGGAGGGAGGTAGGAAATATTGTAAACACTAGCATGTAAATATTTTGTTTTAGTATTTTGATAGGTACAAGGATTGCCCCATTTGTTTCATTCAAGCTGCAGACATTCTATTATGGCATCTAGGTGAGATTCACCCACATGTCAGTTCTCACCTGTGCCTTAAGGGCTCCTCCTGCGGCCACACCTGTACTTCCGACAGAGATGGATCCTCTGCCATCTATAACTATTCAGTCTGACAGTACAGCTTAATGAGTAAATCACAGGGAAAATTCTGCCAGATTATTTGGATTGTTATGAAAAAGTCAGTGAAGTCCCACACGTGACAATATAGGATGCAACTTAGTATGACTATACAGACCAAATTCAACTTAGGAAAATGCAGAAGTAAGTCTTTATATGTAATCTAGCTGTTTGTTTTCCAAAGATGTTTTGCTTGAATGAACTAGGCACAGTGAAGCCATGTCCCAGAATATGGTACATGTATAATAACAATTTGGTATGAAATGTGAAATGATTGACTTAAAATTTGTGATGGAATAATAGTTTACGCAGTATAATCTCACTGAATTTTTTATGATATATGGCTAGGCACCTAATATCTGCATCATAAGTACTCTTCAAAATGTTGGCAGATCTGGATAAGCGTTTTCTCCAATATAAATCATAAAATTATTCCCATCATGTATCAGATGGTTCGGAAGGATACATCAAACACAAATCCCAGGAGACAAATCACAGGGAAAGAGGCTGCTGTTTGTTAGCATCTTTGTGATTAAGTAAACAGCTTGTCATATCTGTGTCTGTGTTATGGCTCGAGGTTAGAGATTATGGATTCAGGGGAGGGGGTAGCAGAAGAAAGCGCCTTTTGTTCTCCAATCAAATGACAAGGACAATGCCATCAGCTCTAATTTGTCTCCCACATCCTGCCTGCTTAGAGGATCACGTTGGTATTTTATAGATTAGTTGAAGCTCTCTACAGTGAGAGGAGAGGTTAGCGTAAGGGTTTACCCAATAGACACATGTTAACCTATGTTGGCATAAGTCTGTAGTGAGGTACGCCAAAAAACAGTTACTGGATATTATTTTGGAAATGGTCAGACGTTTCAGGCAGCATCCACTACCTTTCGTCAGTGACACGAAGAAACTAGAGGAGAATTGCAGGTTTATAAGTACCTGGATGTCTAACCTTCACCGACATATGAAGTGAGATAACTAAAGAAAACCTACATACACCAAGTCTCTGTTGAATTGATCACAAGGCTTGCCAGGGGACGGTTGGGTCATGAGTTGACCTGCAATAACGACATCATGCATCAGCCGTGTATGGCTGTAATCATCTGGCCTAAGTCAGCACTAATGTCTGAATGTTGGACAAACTGCCTGTCCCATTGTAGTCCTCCGTGGGAAATTGCCTTCTATTGTCCTTGGCTATCAATTTTTAATGTAGCAGTTTTAATGGCTGCCTTCTCAAAGGGAAAACATCCCCTGGCTACTTGTAGGTACATATTAATATAGCCATTTAGGGTAATTTATTTTGTCATTTTGTAAATGGTGTAATGATCATTACCGTCCAAACGGTAGTGCAAGTATTACATTTGGCTCCAAAAGTAGCATGTGTTGTGGAGCCATGTGCCTGTCCAACTTCAGTAGCGACAGGCGGCACTGTATGCACAGAATTTTCCTGCTGCTAGCCCTGACTGTTTTCTTTGTATCAACAGCTCTGTTATCCACATGCCTTCATGCTTATTAATATTCATGTATTCTTTTGATTGACAGGTGAAAAAGGCACGTCACGAAGAGCTGTCAGATTCACCTGCAAACAGGTTAGTCCGGCGTGTTGCATGGACCTTCACGTTAGTGTATTGTTGATACAAATGAAGGAACTGTTATGTAATGGCAAGCCTTGCCCTCCCTAACATCTGTACTGAAGTCAGACATTCCTGGTCAGACTAAGAACAAGATTAATCTCTCACAGCATCAGTGACAAATGTTGATCCTTGATGCACCCTTTTCTGTCCACTGGACCAAAGAAATGGTTGCCAAGGATTCAATCCCATAGACGTAACCAGGACAGAAGAATTCTAGCAGACGAACAAACCGCCCTCCCACCTTTTAATCACCAATAATGCACAACGTGAAGAATGTGTGTAGTATTGTGCAGTGTTTTGTGCTATTGTTAGAAGTGTTTGAAGTAACATTTAACAACAGGGGGAATTTTATTTATCACTCACTGAATTATTATGCTCTGAAATAATATTAGTGTCAGATGCAGAATTTTGACTATGACTTATAAATATCTATAATATTTCAACTATATATATTGATACAGCTATGTGGTCATAATGTATTTTATACCAGTCAAACCGTTTTATGTAGGGTGGTTGCCCCAAGCTTTGTCAGCTACAATGGCTAGAACACTTTCACCCAACATCTGTCCCCGATGATCATTGTGGACCACCCCCCTTCTTTCACATTGATCATGAGTATTTGAAAAGGAAGGAAGGGTACATTTTCACAAAATAGGGGTGAGCAGGATAAAGGGTATCATGTGCTGCGGCCAGAGCCCCACGAAGAATCGTTTTTCACCCTCCTGATGCGATGGTGTCAACTTACATTTTCCTCAGCCATGGTTTGGTGGTTCAGCTTTCCACTGAGAGGGCAATAGGGGGTTTTCAGAAAACTTGAATTCAATAATTTATATTAATTGTTTCTTTGATAAAATTTGTGGTTAAAGGATGTGTTATCCACCATTGTTAATCAATTCAAATGCAAGCGTTTATTTCAAGTACTTGAAACTGAAGAATTTTAGAAAAGGCAAAAGTCCAACAAGCCTCAAAAGTTTAACATGTCTTTTCCTTTAGAGATTGTTAATTGACAATAAAAAAAAAAGGCATCAATGTTTTTGTCAAATACTTGTCAGGCAAACTCTTGGAAACAAGGTACCGGAGAAGTTTCAATATCATGAAAAGAATTTATATCTGCACAGAAAATTTTTAGACTACTACCTACCATCCAACAACTTGAACAAGACGAGTGGTTGCATGTCCCTTCAGCTTTTACCCTCCTTATCCTGTAGGGCTAAATTTCAGTTCTGCTCCTATGTACATGTACACCTAATCTTTTTCATAACACTTTTGTCTCCCTTTCTTGTCAATTGTAGAAAATAATGGTAAGTCAAATCTGTACAGGTGCCCAATAAGTACCGGCCATCCCTCCCCCTTGTAGACCTCACCTATTGTTGCTGTCCCTACCTATTGTCATCGCCTCCAGCAGAGTGCCTTGTGTCCTTTCCTCCAAACTTTGGTCACGCCTCATTATTCTTTCCCTCTGCCCATTCACAAACCTGTCGCTCCAAGGGGCGGTTGGACTAATGACGGGTGCGCACCTTCATATGTAGATTGCCTTGTCGCGGTTCGACAATTTCTCTTCTCCCGTCCGTCCGATCTTTTCAGTCGGTCAAAAACCTGGCCCGGCCTTTCTTTCTGTTCCAAATTTTACACCGACTAGAGCTGAGTAAATTCACGGATCAGCTGCCATCTCTGGATGTTGGAAGTTTCGGGACTTATGCCAGCGGAAACTACGAGAATGTTTTCGTGTGCGATGTATCAGCCCGCGTGCTATTTCGCCTGTTACCCCAAGCCCCACAGGTAGCCGTGATTTTCTGCTTGTTTGGTTCTCTCCTTACGTGTTTTTGTGCGGTTAACTCGTTGTGATGGAGAATTTATCTCACCGAGGGAGGCCCGTGGTTTGGGTTACCGAGTCCTACTCCACTCTGTGTTAACTTTACTCTGCTGTTTCACTTGTATATACACTTTGCAATCCTCTCCAAAACTGACACTGTTAGCCCCGATAATGCTCTTGTTCTGTGATTTGATTGGAAATCTATTATCAGTGTCAAAAGTCGTTGGGTTGATGGGCGGGTTGTTGCGGGAAGTTCCACAGACAATGTTTTCACGCTGCCCTCCGCCCGGGGAGGGAAGGGTGGAAAGGGGAAACCCGTAGTTTGTGGTGAATGGAACGTGTACTGATAACTTTCTCTCAAATTTCTCCCAATGACAGAGCATGGAAGTACTATAGGTAGGTGAGACTGACCGTTCCTCACTTACTGTGGCGTGCACGTGTTGTGTTGTGAAACAGTTCCGTTCTTTGTTGTGAAATAAGAAGAAGCTTTGTTCAAACCATGCGTGGTACAAACCTGTAGTACAGTATGGTTAACTCACCTTCAGGCATCGGACGTACTCACCTGCTGCTAGATTTAGTGATTAAAACACACAATAAGCTCATCTCACCCGACCACCTTGTTATCAGACATAATAACAGAGGAAGACAATCATGGCTGACAGGTAGAATCAAAACACTCAAAGCTTGACAACAGATTCAACTCTGATTCAATGTCTGTTCCAATTTCTTATTATTACAAAATTACTACTATTCATACACTACAGGAGCTGATCATTACATGTAAAAGTATTACTGACAGTATTTGTTCTTCAAATCCCAAGGCTTTGGATTTTAGTACTTTCAGTCAAATTTCACCAATGTTCATCACTCTGTCAGTTACTTTAGGCAATTCAGATGTGAAATAGTACAAAATATGACTGATGTTGCAAGAAGCCGTGGTCTTCTGGCAGAAAATATGACAGATCTTGCCACTATTGTCCAAATGTAGCAGCAGTTGGAGATGTCCCAATTCAAATGTGACCTACAAGGCTTATAGTTCCTGATCCGGCTACTGATAAAGTCAAAGATACAAGGACAGGGGTCTCTTCAAATTATAGCCTGCTTACACATCACTTACTATGTCGATCTGAATTGTATCAAGTGAGGGTATTAAGACTGAAATATTACAAAATTGAACATCACCATATTCAGTTGTTTCTGGGAAACATGGCTGCTAATATGAAATAAAGTGTCAGCTGAATTGATATATTCTGTATAAAATAATGTGTTGTAAAACCTTTTTGCTATGAAATTTGAAGAAAATCAAACATCCATGAAAGTTGAATGTGGCATACTTATGGAGGTTTGATGAAGTAAATGTACTTCACTGATATTTTCAGATATAACAAACCCATTCCTTATGGCAAAGTTTATGGAATTATATGTCATAATGTTTAGTAGACCTGAAATATGCCCATTTTATGAATCTTCTGTTCATCTCTTTTCTAGCAGGTTAATGGACTCTCAGCAACTGTCGAGTCCTGGACATCAGACGGGCAACGGCAACTCTCCCAGCAGCATAGCCAATGCCAGTTACGCCACAAATGGGACAGACAGTACGTAATGACGTTCCTACTGTATAGCCATGTGTCTCATCTGAATACCTGTCATTTGAATGTTTGTAATCCAAATATATTGCAGCAAAATAGTTACCCTTGACTACAAGTTACTTTGTATTCTGCATGCTTGCCATAGAGACTCAGTATTTGTGTTTGACAGCATTTTCATTCTGTTCAGCCAAAATTGAAGAAGTAGAAGTATGAATATGTGGTAGACAGTACTTTAATTTGTTTATGTTAGATTGAACTGCAGTCATATATTAGATCTTGGTTGGCATGATGAGAGGCAAGCTAGCAAATGGCAGACTGTGAAGTGTTTGGAGCAGAGAGAGAATGTAGGGCAGGATGGTTAGGGTGTTAGCGGTAGATCCTGGAGGATTAACGCACACAAGCAAAGCATGAGTTGTATAACAACTCCCCTCGAGCGCAAAATTTGTTGGGTTTAAAGTAAAGAGGCTAGCACAAAGATAATTGGGTCACTGGCGGGACAAGACATTTCCACAATTATCCTGGCTCACCACAGACCAATCCCAAGACACATCTAGCAGACTTTAAGCAGAATTTGTTGCCTACAGAAAAATTGGTCACATCATTCAAATCCTTTGGGCTAAACTGGATTATGGTATCTTCCTGGTTTAGTTGGCATGGTATTTATCTACTAGATATCTGCTGTATAACATTGGCATATCCTTCTTAGTTAAAGTCTGTTACAAGATGTTAGTGAGATTGCAACTGGACTGAAGATTTGAACTGAACTGAATGAATGATCTTTGAGATTAGGATTTGAAAACCTTCAGTGTAAAGGTAGATTTCAAAATGCAAATATATAGATCTACTGAAAATGATACTTACCATACCGGTAGGTCATTATTTTGCATTGGTACAAGGTCAAACTGACATCACAAACAGATGGAATACTGACATTACTGCTAAACTTGACATTACCTCCCAGAACTGCTTGTTTTCTTACAAACACGTTGCTGAGAAGGGGCAGTCGTTTTGCCAATTGCTTGTCTAAGTCTTCCTGTTGTTTTGTTCTAGCTGGCCAGGGTGTGATAGTAACAACAGGTGACTCAACAGTGCTGACCAATTCAGACTGGGCTATGACTGGCGTCACAACTCAAACTACTGTTTCTGGTAAGTCTTGTTACAGGTGGGAAGAAGGCATGGTATCTAATATAGTACTGTTAAGGGTGGATGGACACTAAAGTACATGCACAAGAAGGGTCTAGGAGGCCCAAGAATAACTGAATGTAAATGTGTATAGAGGGAACGTGTTATTAAGTAGCATCAATACCCATACATGTAAGTATGAAGGGATTTGTGATGATACAAGCATGAAAAAAAGGAGATGGATTATGATCGAAAGAGAATGATAATAGGTGTTAAGTCAGTTGGTACAGCAGGGAAAGAAGGAGAGAGTGAAAGAATGGAGTTGATTTTGATGTAGAACTGCTGGTATTGGAGAAAGTTTAAAAACATATATCACACTAATAAACGATAAATAAGAGGTAAGTTCACATGAGAAGAGATGTCTTCTGTCAGTCTTTTGGTGAGTAACTGGTAGACATTGTGATAAAACTCTGTCATCTTTCCAGGTCCTCCTCTTTTTTTTTTTATACCTTAACTGTTGCATCTTTGTACTGAGGAAATCATAACTCCATCTGGACACAAGACACTACAAGAGGAACACCACAACACTTAGATGTCTCAGTTAAAACCTGTAGCTGCTCATTTGCCCATGAGATTTTCTTTTTTGTTATTGCAAAAGTCAGTTACATTTTTATCATAATTTTTGGCTTTACATTCAACCTGTTCATGGTAACAATCACACATGATGGTTTCAGTTGCATTCACACCATCGACACAAAATAAAGTATATGTAGGTTGAAGGTGCAGATCTTTTACTGTAGCAAGAAACTTGAAAAAAAAAAAGACAGTTGCTTGGTGCCGGCCCTTGGCAGATTTTTTCTTTTGCCTTTGATTGCATGAATTTTTTTATTTTTTCTGCTACAGTAAAAAGTGAACCTATCACATGTGACGCCCCCACTTCTGGCACCTTCTCTCACGGGGCAGATTTCGCAGGTGGGTCCCTCCTACACTCGTTCGCAAAGTTCTTCACTCAAACGTTCGGAGACTTTGCCATTTTTTCCCCATGTAGGCTTTAGACTACCAGTTCCAGAATAACATAGTTGTCCCTTATGATACACCTAGTATCACTCCCTCAAGAAGTTTGTAGGTAAATCTTACACTAGCCACTAACAGTAGCATAGGGATCTGGAATAACATAAAGCTGTAGTCAAGATTATCACAGGAGCCAATCTTCTCAAAGCTAATTAAATGTCACCATCTTCTTGTTTCCTTTCTAATCGCTCAACCTGTCTCAGTATAATGATGTATATCTGTGAGTAGTTTATTCGAATCTGCAATTTACAAGTCACCCAACTACATGGCAGTGCCCCCTTTTTCAAATGGGTGCTGATTTCTGCACTTAGAACCAAGAGCATTAAAACAACACTAATAACTAATATTGTTACAAATTCTGTACATATCTAATGAGTTCAGCTATATGTTTAGAGTGTCGATCGGATCAAACTTAATTGTGGTTGTGTATCCTGTAGGGTCCACTGAGAGCAGAACGATGAACAGCCAGGGCACCTCCCAGAATTCCACAGCGTACGAGGGCACAGCGGCACAATTTGCAGCCTCTCAGTTTCCCTATGGCAGGTAGGTCTAGCTCTTCCTCTCTATATTTCTTGAAGCTCGCTTGAATGTGTTGTAACATTGCATGGTGCACTGCCTTACCCCCCAGTCAGGTGAAGTTAAAATCTAATAAAGCATGCTACCATGCATGTGATGGTGCGGCCATGGGGCCACGGTCAGGCACACAGATATATCTTGGCCTTACCCAGGGTTATCTTCTTTTCTCATATGAGAATGATTACGGAGGACATCTTGGAAGGTCACTGTTGTGCAGATACAGTTGGTAATTCTTATGATATGTGTCCACGAAGCTAGGTTATCTAAGGCTGGGGTTATCAGTGTGGTAGAGTGTCCTCAGGATGACCTTGTTGTACCATCCAAGTCTGGCCCTGCGGCTGTGGCTGGTTCCATCTGCGGCTGGGTTGTAACTCTCTGTATGGGTGACATTCTGGTGCACTGCTGGAGCTGTAGCCAGGTGTCTGCTCTGTCCGTGATATGAATGTGAAATTTATTATGATTTTCTTGTTATAACCGACTTGGTACAGTAAGAAGTACACAGGCTTAGCTCACATGTTAATGTTTAATACATTTGTGCTGTAGTAGATTGGTTTATTATTGTTGCTTCACAACAAACATTTACAGTCTCGCAGTGTAAGTAGTAACTCGCACTGAATTGAACTGGTAAACATTAATATAAAAGGTAGTGACATAATAACATATATTATGCTGCTATCTCAATATAGGGTTGAGATCACATGTTGAGATCTGTGTACACACATAGACGATCTGTTGAATCCAGTCCCACAGAGTAACAGATTCACAAGCAGTGCAACTGCTTTTGTATAATTGTAGGCTCTTTTCAAATGATCGTAAATCTGGGCACCTCGATCAGTGCCCACTAATTAAGTGATCAGGGTTGGTTAATGAATCATGCTCATTGAAAGGGATCTCTAATTAATAACGGTAGTTACACGGGATAACAACAGTAACCAGTGGCAGTGCAGGTCTGGCGCTAACTGCCCAGTCTCCTGTTGTAATTTGTTATGACAATGGGGTTGTTAGTGCCTGGAGGGGGATTCGCCCTTGTGTGCACCAGTGCCCCAGGTTTCCCATTTTGTGTGATCAATAAACCTGAACGGCCCTGTACACCATAATGGCTGCACTTTAAAAGTTTTAGAACTAGATTATCTCCTTTTGACCGAAAGACAGCTTTCAATTATGACTTCAAAGGTGTGTCTTAAATACCCGCAATCCTTTAGAAAAAAGGCAGCTGTGTGGATTGTTTCTGTTGCATTGCATTGAGGCTTTTGATTCTGTCATCACTGCGATTTTCACTGCTTTATGAATAATTATAACTACTTCTTACAACAACCTATAACAACTACCTTGTGTTGGTGATTTTGAAGGCCAAATACTTTTTTTGGTAAGAATTTTATCTTGATACAATTTTTACTGCTTTATGAATTATTATAACTACTTCTTACAACAACCTGTAACAACCACCTTGTGTTGGAATGAAGGTTTCCAAGGCCAAAGACTTTTGATAACCTTACAGAGTTTTATCTTGATTGCGATTGCTCTGGGAAGTCACCTGTGACATGTTTGCGTTTCAGCCCTGGTCGCCCGTACCCCCACATTCTGCCTGCGCCAGCCTCACAGACTGGGATGCCGGGCTATCAGCAAGTGGTGACGGGGCAGCAGCAGTACATGCAGCCTGCAAACCCAGGCTACTACAACCCACAGACCAGACAACCTTATCTGCCAGGGGCTTATCCTCCAGGTAAGTCAGCAAATCAAGATCCACAGGCCAGTGTTTAGGTACAAGTTGATATGGATTAAGACTGTTTCATACTTGGTTACGTATGAAAGTGTGTTGCTGAAGTTTAGACAGTTCAGGGTTTTGTTGCATTTGTCCAGAGGTAAATCTGAACCTGTTGATGGCATGAAAATTGTGTTTGTTGCCTCCTGACACAAGTTGGAAGTAAAGAACTGGGCATCTGCTTAGGCCAGTGTTAAGGCACAAGTTGATATGGATCATGCTTGAGTACATCTGAAACTGTGTTGCTGAAGTTTAGACAGTTCAGGGTTTTGTAGCATTTGTCTAAGTCATATTCTGAACCTGTAAAGTTTGGTAAGTCCGCAAAGCAAGTAAAGTAAAGAACTGGGTGTCTGCTTGAAGCTTGTTGTTGACTTGTTTCATGTCAGTAGTGGAGAGTGAAACCCTACCTTGGTGAACTGATTTGTAATATAGATAAAAGTTGGAGATGAAGCTGATTTTTGACACACAGAAATGACACAAGTCATGGGTCAGGACCAGGTGCAGCAGAGGAATGCAGGGACCACACGTTTCCCTGATTGATGTGTCAGAAATGCCCAGCCTGCCATAATGATGCCATTAAACATCCTGGGGAAATGCTGTGGGAAACAATTGATTCAGTAGGAATCGTAGGAATGCCTGGCAGGAAGCAGTAGCCATGGAACCGTCACTGTTTAGTTGTAGTGTGCCTCCAGGAAGTGCAGTGAGATCTCCAGGGCGTAGGGACTGTGCCCTGAAATTTGGCCGTGACTTTGTTCTCCAGAAGGTTGGAAATCTTTTAATCAACCTCAGGAAGAGGGCTAACTGAATCAGACTCCTGACAGATTACATAAGCAGGCCCAGGATTTTCTGTCAAGCTAAACCTTAGCCCTAAAATCCGAGAAGGGACTCTGACTTGCATGGGTGTCTTAAAATGTTAAAAGAAAAGGAAAGTGGTGGTTTCTATAACTGTATCCAGTGAATAGGAGATTGTTTTGCAAAGAACATTGTCTCGAGTAATAAGCACTGTTGTTAATGTAATATATGCTGTTTAGTCACTGTTAGTTTGGCATTTTATTTTTTTCAAAAGTTGCCAGGATAATTTGTTATTGACAGTCTAAAGATTGCAAGCTTTGCATATGAATGGAATTATAAGGGGAAAGGTCACTCATCAGTTTTTGCTGATGTATAGAGGAATGACAGACTCCATTCAGCCTGGGAAGTGAAGTGTGTCTGTGGACAGCAGGAAAACTACCTTCCCATGTTCATAACTGTCACAGGCAACATTTAGAACCATCTGAAGTCAAGGGTGTTGACAACTTTTATGCCCAATTTAATGGGAAGAATTTTTTGGAGCTTTTTAATAAAGTTTGATGCATGTTACATTGTTTTGTCAGTGCTTCTAGGTGGTAATCATTTAGTAGTTTTGACATTGAGTTTTTAGGTAAAAACAGAGTATAGACTAACCTTGCTTACGTTAGACACCGTCCTAAGAGCTTCTGACTAGAGTTCTGCTTCTCTCCACTATATGAAATGTAGGTTAGTCTATCTTGGTTGTGTGAAAGAAACCTCCTGTATCCTATACTTTACCAACCTGATGAAAGTATTTTCGGAAGAGTATCTTACCATTGACAACGTTTGGTGTACATGTAATCATTTAGTAGTTTTGACATTGAGTCTTTAGGTAAAAACTCATCATTGACTACGTTTGGTGAACATGTAGGTGCCAGACCAGCCATGCAGGAAGCCAAGGGGGTACAGGGTCAGCATGGAGCAGCTTACCCAACGGGTCTGTATGGTCCAGGCTTCTCCGCAGCAGGGCAGCCAGCACAAGCCCCATACACTGCATATCAAGTACAAGGTACGGACACTGTCCTCATATACATATAATGTACTCATCATGCGAAATTCAAACTCTGCTACTGGATAAAGCAGAAGAGATACCTGTCATGGAAATTATCTCCATAATTTATCCAATAGTAGAGTTTGAATTTCCCATGAGTATTGTTTACCTGGATGTCTAGCCTTCATCAACGTATACATATACAGTACTGTGTTGACTGAGCCTTGGTCATATACAAGGGAAAATTAAAGATTGTAAATGGCACTTAATTTTCTTCATTATAATCTATAGGTCTTGTCAACAGTCATTTAAGTAGGCTCTCATTCAGGATATTAAAATTTTGATACCTGCACTCAAATTTTAAACCAAGCCACTGTGGTCAGTCACCTAGGAGAATGACAGATGTTTGTAACCTTTGACCCAGTGGTGTGTCAAAGGTCCCAGGATGAGGTCGCAGGTCAGGGAGACCTGTCACGATGAGTGACAGCCAGCTGTTGAAAGTTTTCATTGCGATGTTTTCATTGCTGTCTGCTTATTTGGACAAGGTGTAGGAATTATGGCCATCTGAAATGTTTTAGTGGTCAAGGTGCACCTGTCTTCATCTCAGGAAAGAAAATTGATCACTCGGAAAAGAAAGCTGATGTAACAGAGTCTTCATAATGTGAACTCTTCCTGTCTTGTTCTCTGGTCTTATACTTTGTATCTCATTTGTATTTGATTAGCACACAGGTTGTCTATTCCTTCACTCTATACATTAGTGATATATAACAGTGAAGTAGTGGCACATTATTCGATGCTTGTCCTATACATTTCAGATCCAGTACTACTAGTATACCCCTTGATTATTTCTTCAAAGTCAAAGTCAAAGTTAGTACGTCGCCTGTTTCCACTTAAGATCGGATGTGGTTGAACTCTGACACCTGCAGGGTCAGAAGCCATCTTGGTCATCAGTATTTGCCAGTGTTTCTCTGTTGCTGTCCAAGTTTTGGCTTGGGTGTTTTCCTTTGTTCTTCCAGGTTTGTTTTAGGCAGCTTGTGAGGAGGTGATTCCCCCAGGACAGCTCTGGCTGGCACATTTCCTCTCCCACTTGTTTTCCTTGGGAGGCAGGCCTGTTTTCATAACCTAACCTTCATGAGCTCTTGTCAGAATTGGGGTATTGAAACAGCCTACATAGCATGACAGTTCTCATCAGCGCAGGGGAGCCTTACATGAGTTCTTATCAAGATCTATGGTTCAACTTGAAGATGAAGCCTATATTTTATTGTAGGAATTTAGAATATTCCTAGATAAGTTTCATTGGAAATTTGTCTTGCTAGAGACAGTGTTTGCAGGAGCATCTTGCTAAGAATCAGGACTGGTGATTCAGATCTCTTTTTTAAAAAGACTCCTTTGTGTTTTTTTCATCCTATTCAAGAAAATGTAAAAAATCATACAATACATAAAAAGAACATTAACATGAAAATATTTTTCCAAGTCCATGCCTCACATTTACTACAGTTTTTACCGTCTTAGGTTTCACCATCTACCCTATAAACTCGTTGATGCTCAGAACACCCCCATTTCTAGCCAATGGTACCTGCTGTCTTTGACATCTTATATGTTGTGATCACCCCCTTTTAGTTGTTCTGGTTTCTCCTCTGTTCCCCTGGAGTGAAAGTGTAGGGATATCCCCTCTGTCAGTCGACTCTCGCCAGTCATCTGGAAGTGTTGCAACTTGTTTATCACCCAGTAAAGACATCCCAGTGCTGGTCCAAGTATGTGGCAACTCAGCTACCCTGCAGGTATTGTAGTGGTAGTAGGTTTTACCAGTATCTTTTTCTTGTGACAGAAGTGATGTAGATATAGTGCAATCATACGTTTGACAGAAAGCAAAGTTGTGATACTGTATGGTCGGTAAAAACAGAATGGTTATCTTACTGTAGGGGTGTTAGTAGCGGTCAGGAGGGTTTCCTCTTCAGGTTAGCTGATTAGTGATGTTTTGTCTGGGGTAGTTTCTGTTGTTTCCACCAGCTACAAATCTTGTCACCTGCACCTGTATGCTGACTGTCAAGCCATTACCAGGGATTGCACTAATTAATTTCAGCTCATTATCTGAGATTTCCTGTCTCCTAAACACATTTATTACTTACTGGCTATTAGGGCCTGGTTAATCTGGTTTGTTTGTACTCTGTCAGCTATGGAACTGTCAAAAGTACGGAGAAGTTTGTTTTAAACAGCAAACATTATCTGAGAACCTTTGAGTTATATTGGAATGGCTGAATGATACTACATGTATGTGTAATTACAGAGTCTTCTTAGTTAGAAGAGATGCTTGTTCTGTCTAACTCAATAACAAAGTATCTTTTACCAAAAAACATGCGACTGAAATGCATTAAAAAAATTGAAGATGATTGAAATTTAATCTTTTGTGGTTTCTACTTCCAGTTCCTTATTATCAATGTCAGAGCAATACATGCAACTCATTGTCAGCGAAATTATTTCATAGAATCGCAAATCTTGGAAGGAAGTATTTGTGTTTACATATTTCTTCTTTCATTATTTCAGATAGTTGGTTAGCTAATGATAAGCATTATGATGCCTTGTTTTGACAAGTTAGAGAAATGTGCAGTAGTAGTACTTGGGAGTAATACGTGGTAAAAAAAAGGGCAGACCTGGAAAAGGTGCTGTTCATTAAGGGCAAGGAGTGCATTAAATGGTCGTCATGTGGGGCCTATATTAACCCTGTAGGGTAGGTAAACAGTCCCAGGCTCTTTTATTATGTGTGTGGCAGGCGGCTGCCTCTCTCTGGCTGCCATCTGTCAGGCAGAACAGAGTTCCTCTGAATAGAGACCTGATGCAAAGGGAATGGAATAAGCGAGTCTGTCAGGCAGGCCAGCGGTCTGACATTCCTGACTAAAAGGTGCAGGGAAGAAGCTGTTAGGTGAATTAGTTGGCATGCACACTGTCGTTGATCTATCTGTATTGAAATCTGTATTGACGTGTTTCGTTTTTGAAGAAAATCCTGGCTTAAAGATATTGGAATTTTCTTGTTCACGACCACATAATATTATGCAGGATTGGTAGATTTTACAATGTATGAAATAAATTACAATGAAAGATTATTCACTGATAGAATTATTTGTCAAAAAGATTCCTTTATTTTCTTGGTATTGATATTGTAAGTCTGAAAATATACCAAGGAAGATGAGGTCTAATACAGCAGCCTACCGTCTTCGATACTCAATGTCCAAGTGAGGCTTGGAACAACATGGACTGCTTGTGAAATTCCATGCCCCTGACCCAAGATGGCGCATAATTACAGGTCTCCCATTCAGCCCAAAGTTTAAAAATTTCAGGCTTTGTGTGAAGAAAGAATCGGGCATGTTGTGTGGCATTCGCGGTGCACGCCGCCATCTGTTACATTGTTGCAGAACGGTGACAAGCCCGCTACATTTACCACACAGCTTGTTTATGTGAAACAAAACACTCAGAGATTGCTGTAGAATTTTAAAAAAAAATGCTTCCTTTGACAATTAAAAGAACTTTTGCAGAGTTAATAAGATATCCAAGTGTAATACTGTATTCTCAAGTAAGTCAGCCCTAGAACTATTGTTGCGATAGGAAAATTATGCCTCGCCAGTCACTGTTTTCTGATGCAGACCCTATGCCCTAACATGCACATAGAAATTTTCATTGATTCCATTTATGCCAGTTGTTTTTGGCTGGTTCCTACCTGGCACCAGTTGTGTAACCGTGTTATGTCATGGTCAAAATGGGAAATGTCTTCCCTAATCCCAGCCAAGCAAGTAGACCTTGGCATTTGAACTAAAAATACAGCAAGCAAGATCTTTCAGAACAGTAACGTAATAACAGTGCTAATAAAATTCCAATATATGTCCATACTGACACCAGAATTACTAAATATAGATGTGCTCTAGCAACTATCATATTCCTTGTGATAGCCCACCCTCTTTTTTTCGTCATTAAAAAAACGTACAACACTTTTACATATCTTAGCAATATAAACGGAGATGAAATATTAAGTTAGAGCTAAAATGTCAGGTGGGTGGTTCTGTGGTAAGAAGTATGAAGAAGCAGGTTTGTCCAGTTCCTTATCTCCAGATCGGTGACTTCTCAGATATGACAGCAATGTGTGTAGTACTACCTGAAGCTTATCCCCTGCCTTACTGCCCATGTTGTCCAGTTTAACTTATCCTGGCCCGCCTGATACAGGCACTGCTCAAGCGGAACAAGCTACTGCTGTTTTGTTTGTGGGGAAAATAAGTTCTGGGGCAAAGCACTTGGAAGTAATTAGTCTGCTTTTGCTCAAGGAAGAACTGAGGCAGAAGCAGGTGAATTAAGACGTGCCGTAGGAAGTGCAAGGAAGGCGGGATGAAGCTGTTTGTTAAAATAAAGAAAATGGGCCACATGCATACTATATGTGACTGTTCTGATAGGAAGATTGGTTCAGATAGATAACAGTACATTTGAAAATGTCATGACAGATGACTATCTATCCATCCAATAGTATGGATATAGATAATAGTCTGTGTGCATGTGTCTGTGGGTAAGATGTATTTCTACATTTACTGTATGGTGCAGCTGTACAAATTGAGCTATTAAATGTGTTTCCTCATCATTACATGCAGTGTATAGTGATTATGGATATGATACAGCTGCTGACCTGATCATCCAAATCAAAATTGTAACAGTTCCCTTTCATATCTTTATCAATAGAGGCCTGGATAGCCGCTTTTTCCTAATGACTTGTTTCTCAGTACTGTTATTTACAACCTAATTGGACTCGGTTCTGGGCTTGTAAGGCCCTTAGTCGCTATGTGTATTCACCTGGTAAAGGTGAAACTTAATGTCTCATTAAAACTGACATTTAGAGGGTTTGGCCACCTCACAAAAGAAAGGGAATATTTGCTCTCAGAACTAGCACTTCTTCTAGCAGTTCAGAACTCGTATGTAAATTTTGTCATTTCAACTCTGCAGTGACACAGTTACAAGAAATACATTTGTAGCTTCTAAACATAAAAATTAAAGTTGAAGTTCCTCTTTGCGTATTTAAAAAGAAATAAAACATTGTTGAGTACATCATTGAAACCCTACATTATGAAATGTTTTCTTGCAAAGTATTAATATCTTAGTCACATACTGCATTGTATTTATCACTAGCAACATCTACTATACCAGATGATTGTACAGTCAAAAAATTAATGAATAAAATGCTACCAAACATATGTCATGGATGGAAATCTGCTGGATATCAGACAAAGCAACAGTATCACCTGGCCTGAATGATGATAGATCTCAGCCGAGATACAGAGAAAATTGCAGCAGTGATTAATGAAGGTGTGCGTCAGGCATTTGTACTGATGTTCTGTCGCTGGTGCTGCCTACGCCCTCAGGTACACCTGGTAATTATTTCTCCCATCCGCCGCTCTATTGTTCTCAGGTATCCTGTGGCTTCTGCCCCTCTGGGGATTATTATGTTGTGATATTTAGACAATGTTAACTCTTGTTCAACATGGACCCCCTACTGGTCTAAATGTTAGTTACATTTTGTAATGATGCTCACCTTCAAATGTTCTTTACAACTTTGGTGGCAAGTAAAACATCTCATGTCCTTCCTGTTGTTAGTAAGACCCTGGAGGTATTATTAATCATTTTTGGAGTATCTCTTTGATGGTCCTTGTCTGTCAGATGTGAATGATTTGTGGATTTAGCTAGGCTGATGTTGGACCACACTTAATCCTTTATTGCCAATTCATCTCTATCTAGGAAATTTGTCAACATTATGGCTCACCTTTCTGTTGTACACATTGACAGAAGTGTTGTCACTTAATTGTAAAGTTATTGCTGTTTAAGCCACCAGAAAGCAACAAATAAATCACAGTGGCATAATGAGTGGGAAATGATAGGAAATGAGTGTCATTATGGAAACTTTTTAATGTGAAAGGAGCAGATGCTGTAGCTTTCCCTTTTAGATTACCAATGTGTCACTTAAAGGCCTACTTCATCGATTGTCAATGAAATTGTTGGAAATATCATATGTTTGTTAGTGGATTTCTTTGGTACTGAAGATAACCTCTTACATTAAGAGTAAGCATAAGCATTAACTTTTCTTTTTTCTTTTTGCTGTTCAGGTGCATATAGTACAAGTGCAGCTACCTATCCCACCAACAGTCCAGCTACCAACACGCAAGCTTATGCAGCACAACAGGTAAGGTTGCCAGTAATCTATACTCATTTTTAGCCAACATAAATAAGAAGGGTTGTATGGCTAATGTCAACCAATTCTTATGATCTTCAGAAAACAGCCAAAAGCACTGAACCAGGGAAAACCGTCCAACTGACCATCCATTTCTCACACTCAAGTGTAATGTGCAGTGACAAACTACCAGCATATTGAGCTCAAATTGAGCCAACTTTTACTCGGGGGTCTGACCTGTAGCTCGGGAATGATTCAAGCCCAGTGACCTTGTCTGTTCTTGAACGTCCTTTCCCTTTGTTAAAGTCAGCGGATGATGATGGCCCTGGGTGCAAGCGTCCCTCTCTAGTCACAACTGCTAATTTGTTGGGACAAAATGAGCAAATTGAACACAAATTGGAGACATTCTGGGCAATTCCGTGACCTCTGCCCATGGAAAAACTAGCAAGTTCGGTGACCCTGGCGTTTGAGAACAGTTGCCACCATTGTCGGTGTTAGACGGCCCGGGGCAAGGTGTGCTATGGACACCAGGCATCCAGCTGAGGGCACGCCGAGTTCACCTCAACAACTTCTCTCTTCTGAAATGAAATTTGGGAACTTGCCAAAGATTCTTTCTCCTTACAGCCCCTTCTAAAGGGCAACACTAATGTGGTCTTTTAAGGTTGTTTCTATAAAATTAGGATGCTAAAGGCTGTATACCCCAGAAAGTCAAATTTTCAAAAAGCAATGAAACTAGAAAACATTTGCAGCCATAAACATGTGAATATTAAATTGAATGCTTCTAAATTGCAAACAGTGTGTTATTGAGGTTAATTAAAATAATTGCAGTTTTAAAACTCATTGAAGGTACTTCTAAATGTCAGAGAGTTTGAGAAGAATACTAAAAATTTGACATTTTCACATCAGCTTTGGTCATGGAAGATCATACTGTGGCAGAAAATAAGAGATCAAAGTGCCATCCCTGCACAAATTACCCCCAAAAAGTGCTGTTGGCTATTCCCCGCCAAGCACGTCTACAATTTCCGGACTCCCAGCAGGTGTGGGATGACCTCTGACCTCTCCAGAAAGGACAGAGGTCATCAAGGTATAAATCTGTGTGCTGCTGACAGGAGCGCTCAAAGGCCTCACATCAAAGCCGTGATAGAAACACGTCCCCCACAGAACTGTAATCCCTCACATGTCCAGGTAGACCCTGCATGTGCAACCTGAGCTTGTGGGGAAGAAGTTGAAAAGAAGTTGACTTTTATATTGAGAGGTTAGACTTGTAGACTGCAGGCTCGGATGTCATCCTGTAAATGTTATCATGGAACAGCGTGATATCTGTGATACTACTGGTATTAAGTGTTGGACCTTTGAACATACATTTTGTATAGTTGCTGTTGAACACACTTTCAGCATATTGAAGTATGCGTATATATTTTGCATTTCTCAACGAACATTTTTGAATGTTGTGTTTACCAGTATATATTTGTGTGAGGCCGCCATTGTTGATATTTTTGTTTTCCATTTTCCTTGAGGCTGCTGTTGTGTTGCAGGCAGTGGGGAAACAATCCCAGAGTGGTCAGGTACGACCTGTCCTCTTCACAGCATGACTCAAGCTTGAAAAGAAACAATAATGTATTTTCCTTTCCCTAATAATGGGGTGTTGGAAAATGTTAATAAAAGTATCTATATTTGTATCTATATTTGAAATCTGAAAGAACATTCAAGGATGAACATGAATTTTGTACATGGTCATGAAAGTGATTCTACTTCGCACCAAAATTACTTTCCTAAAAGAATTAAAACATACATCAATATACATTGTTTATATTCTGCCTTGCAATTGATGTAGAGCTTTAATTGAATCGAAGTATTGCGAATGCTAATGATGAAGCACCACTAACCATCATCACACCCCACTTATATATGCAGCACAAAGATTACTAATCAGAAAATACATTATGGCCATCTTTATGTGGCTATGATTGCTTAATTGCTATCAATGATTAATGGTGGCCTAACACAAATAAAACACTAATTGCAAGAATGCTTCATAGATATGCATAACATCAGTAAGTAGTTGTTGTTGTCATGTTTACTTGTTATGTCTCCAGACCTGCAATGCTTTTTATAACTGCTCAGCTATTCAGCTACTGTACTGATGCAGGGCTCTAGCCAGCACCCGGTTTTTCTGTCTTTGTGGTGTGTGATGGAAAAATTTCTAAAGCAATCAGTCAAAACTGACCAAAATCTTTGGTAAAAATATTATCTAATATTTCCACTCACAACCTTATGATTTCCCTCTCAAAATGTGGGAAATTGTGGGTTTTTTTTAATGTCTATGAGTTGCCTCTCAAAATGTGGGAAATAGTGTTTGTAAAGGCTAAATTTGCCCACGGAACAACCCCCCCTAGATTGTGAGCACCCTCCCCTCCCGCCAGGTCCAGTCATGAACCTGGGTTGACGGAAAAAATTTTTGAGCTGTCTAGAGCCCTGCTTACATGGTTTGCCATAACGTAACAATTACATTGATGTTTTTTGTTTTTTTTTTAATTTTTCCGACAGGAATACACGTATCCCCCCCAGTTTGGGCAGGCTGGCACCTATGCGCACCAGTACTACACCACCCCTCAGGGGTACTCCCCCTTCAACACATCCAGCACCACCACCCTGACTGCACCCAGCACCACAACCACATATCAGCTGCAGCCAATGCCTGATCTCCCCACAACCGGAGGTAAGAACTTACAGTGTTTACTATGTGAGCAGCACATCGGCAGAACGTACTGAACCTGCGCAAAATCCATATTGTATAATTTATTGTGCATAGCACTTCCGTTGAACTTCTCATATTAGGTCGCATTTGCGTATATATAAATTATAAGGTTAACATCTCGCCTGTAGTTTCCAAATGTTATGTCAGGAAAGATATCATCTGCAACAGGCCAAATTTTGATGCAACGTTGACTAAAAACCCCACAAAAAAACGGTTTCGGGCAGGCGCAGTACATTCTGCCAACGTGCTTATTAGGTGAGCTATTATCAGTTGCCGCTGTGCTTTATTGTTGCATATGGGGACATACCTTGCATGTAAAAACCCTCAATAGACAGGCCCTCACCAGACATCAAATCTGACAGAGTAACCTTTGACCTTTTGCGATGCTACCAACTCTCCCATATCGTGTCAGGCTGGCGATGAGTTTGCGTGCGTGACACTCCGGACTAAAAAAAATCTGGCATGTCCAGTACCCAGTGTTTACTGTCCTAAGGGGCACAGAGAATCATCATCATTTGCAGTAGAAACCTCAGAGATGAAAGGTTTCTTGACGTCAGTGTCCTTGTTTGAAGGCTGTTGGAGGTTTGCACCCAGTAATATTTTTCTAGGATTACCCAATGTTTAGTATCCGTAGGCGAATATTTGGGCTGGGCCTTGAGGATTAGGACAGAAAATAGTTCTAATGTTTTTATCAAGATCTTGGAGTTATGGGGATATATGCTAACAACATTGAGTTTCTTATGACAGTGCATCAATTGCGAAAAAATTAAGGCTGTTCTATCATATTTTCTTACTTTGGCAATTGGCAAGGACTTTTTACAATAACAAAAAAAATCCATAACAGTAGTTGAATCCCTTTCCAACCTCCCCACTTGTCACAGAGCATTCCAATGGGGATTTGTGTTCCTTCTTATGTATGACCAAAACTCCATCATTCTTATTTGACAAGACTTTTGGCTCTGAAGACTCCTTGCATTCCCAAGACGGTCCTGCATTGTTCTGGGTAAAGGAAGCATGAGAGATCTGTTGCATGATAGGCTGAAGTGAGTGACAGATTCCCAGCTGCACATTCAGTGATTAGCATCACGGTAAACAGAAAGTGGTGACAGATTTGTCGCAGCAGATTCCAACCGCCAACCAGGTTTTGTGTTGGTGTAAAAAGTCTGTTCGGCTGTAAGACAATGATCTTAGATGTGTACTTATTAAGCAGTACTGAACAACAAGACTCTACATGGCAGATGAGTGTGATTTCTAAAGATATTCAATATAAGTAATTTTTCTGATTAAAAAAGTGTTGATTCTGCAGGAATTTTTTCCATTTGTTTCCTGCCTACAACATAAAATGATTTATGGATGAAACACAATTTTAGTCAAATTTTATACAAATTTTGTTGAAGACAAATCTTTCTGAGGACTTTTTTACTGAGGACTACTCGCACAGAAAATGTATTTATGGTTTTCTTGAGCAGAGAGAAAGGGTTTTGAGCTACTAGCAAAAAAACAACAACAATAATGTCATACAAATCTTCTTCAGTGGCAATGACAGAGATGGACACCTACAGGGTAACCTTGACAGCATTCCAAAACTTGATTTACACTGTTTTTGCCTGTTCCAGACAATGAAGTCAGCCCCTTTCCAAACACTGATCTCAAACCCACATTGACAATAGATGTGAACAGAGAGCACAGAGCGGGGTCAAAATCTTCCTCCAGTCGTAGTAAATAAGGGCAGGTGAAAACAGCCCTCCCCACTGTCTGATAATGATCTAGAGGTAACTAACCAGACTTCACTTTTTTTAAATCCTCACAGTAGTGCACGAAGACGTTACGAAAGTGAAAAGCACGCCGAGCAGATCGAAGTCACGACGGAAACAACCCAGCCCACCTCCAGAAAACGATCTAGAGGTACGTTTATCTTACATCTTTATCTTGTGGTGGCACACAGTTTGCTCCGACTTGTTTGCTGACTTTGCTGTTTTAATTTTCGTTTATACATATTGGAAACAAAGGCACAAAGAGAGAGGTCACTTTTCCTTCTCCCTGCTGAAATAACCTTTTTGGTACCAAATTTGTATTGGTTGCAAGGTTAGGCAGAAGAGAGAGGGTTAATCAATGAATTAGTTGCGTCAAAGACTTGTTTCCATAGTTTGTGTATGTCCTGGTGTGTCATTGCTAATTGTACATCCCTCCTCCCTACAGAGAGTTTTCGTGTGGGACCTGGATGAGACCATCATCGTGTTCCATTCCCTCCTGACCGGCTCGTATGCGCAGAGATTCGGAAAGGTAGGAATTGTAAGTCCACCCAACAGCAACACATCTTTTTTTCTAAGCTCGTAGAACCAAGTAGACTGATAATTGTTGTTAAAAGATCCCTTCTGTTTCCTTTTAGTTTTGCCAAGTCAAAAAATATACAAAAGAAAACTGTGATACTGGAAATAAGTTGACTCCATTTAAAAGGCTCTGTTGTAAAAGTACTCACAGTTCTTGGTTGAACATTTCTCAGTGACTTCCCAGAGATACCTGTATCCCCATGTTCAGTGCGATTAGAAGATTTCCTGCTTACTAAAAATGTTTATTGGGGAATTCTTATTATTGTGGCCTCTCCTTTGAGCAGAAATTTTTAAGATTTAGCTGTGTCTGGGCTGACCTTTTCCTTAGACCTTTTCATAGATTTGTTATCATGCAAAAGTCCAAAAGGTTGTTAAATGACTGCTTGCAGCATTGCCTCTAGCCAACAGGGATTTCCTACTATCTCTCTGGTGCTATTGTCTCAGAATTTGCATCTCTTTGCTAGAAGAAGGGTCAGATTGAAAAATTATGTGGCCCACTTCCGAAGGAACTCAGATATGATCTATTGCTTACGGCGAGGAGCATAGACAGATAACATCACAATTATGTCGTTGGCAACTTTTGTCTGAGATAGAAAACTGTGTAAGACTGTGATTAGGAAATATTGTCAAAAGCCTCAAGTTGTATAATCTACAAACCAGCAAGCACTACAAGAGCATCGTTCAAATAGAATTATTTCACATTTACTCTGTATTGCAGTCCAAATTTTTATTAATATTATTGTAATTTAATACCGTATTCTCATTCTTTTCAAAACTTATGCTTAAACTATATTAATAACAGTTAGTTCATTGAGATACCCTTTAGCCCCCTTAACAACAGTTGAATGAATCATCAAAGTATTAATGATGAGTTTCAGAAAAATTTGAAAACACTCAGAAGCTGTAAGTAACTAAAATGAGAAATGTTGCCAAGTTCTCAGCGTCCCCAGAAAAACCTTCAGTGTGTGTAGTTTATGGCGTGGCTACCCTCAAGGCTTGTCTCAATGCCAAGACCTGCTTGTCCCTGCCTCATACGAGCCATCTGTGCCAATCTGTTGACCCCGGGCGACCCCGCGCTCCCTGGTATGGCCGCCCCTCCTCCTGCCAAGAGAGCCCCACATGGGCGGAATTCCGAGGGAGATTTGGCAACAGTTGCTCTTTGTGTTCAGCAGGGCGGGAAATGCATGGGCACAGTCAGGACGGACCTCCGCACACACTGGTGCTGCTGTATATAGGCAATGCCTGCCCAGAAAAAATGCAGCTGAACTTCAGCTATTTTTGTTCATCAGCTGATGGATTGTTCTAGACACTTCTTGGGTCTGAGTACAAATTCTTTGCGGTTGATATCTTTCGTGAAAGAACAAAATTTTGGCAGAAAGCTGCTATCTAAATAACTTTGATACAATTATGTACCATTTGGTAGTAATTATTATTTTGTAAGGACTACTGACAGGTTGTTTGGGGTTGATTTAATCCTTCTGCTATTTAGTTCCACATATCAAAATCTGTGGGAAAAGCTACGTATTTGAAACAAAGCGATTACTGAAAAATGTAGCAAATCAGTTTTTCCAGCATCATTGTTTTCTTTATACTAGTATATCAGTATATCAAACAGGTAAAATTGTGTAAAGTATTATTGACTTATAAGGATTTTGTTGAGTTTTATTTTTTTACAATTTTCATTATTTTTTTTATATGAATATCACAATCAATTACATTGTTAAAGGCTTGTGGGCCTTAATGCATGTTGCCAAATTAGCTGGGATCTCTGAGACAGGTTGCCAGTACTCCCCTTATCTTCCTGTCAACAGCAGTAGACTTGATTTATGTGGCATCTTAGATAGCCAGAAGTGTAGTAGCTACTGTATTGTAGGTCTGGAGACCACAAACTTTTCCTACTGTTCCTCGGACATGGAACTAGACAAGCAACATCCCAAATTCTATTGGATTGTAAGATAAAGCTAGCTCTCTCATTCTAGCTAGCTCAGGGAAAAATATTATTGAAAGGAAAAGCAGGTTGTGTTTTGTTTGGGTATCGGGTTTGACAACCAAAACCTCTATTAGGTGGTGGTAGAAACACATTGGGGGTATTGGGAGCTGGTGACAGTGAGTAAGTAAGGCAGAGACCTCCCTGGCAGCTTGTGTTTCAGGAAGATGGAGATGTTGGATATCAAATAAGCTCAGCTGCTGATTGGCACTTTGTATACAAATTGTACAACAGCAGTAGCACTGGGGTATATATTGTACAAACAAGACCCAACTGGACTGTATCAGTCATGTTTGGGTGATTGTAACTTGATGGTACGTACTGCATGTTATCCCAGTGTTTTGGATGCCTGTGTAAGTGCCAGTATGATGAATTGGTCATAAAAGTGTTTGAGAATGATTGGTACATGCCCATGCATTCATTAGGCATAATTCATCATCGGTGTCTAGCTTTGTCAGGATTGATTTTGTGCTGACAGGACACTGGCTCACTACACCAAGAAAAATACTACTTCTCTGCCATCTAAAATACTACTGTACACCATGAAAAATACTTACGGATCAGTTACTGTAGTCCCTGACCATTCTAAACTACAAGGCTATATGAAATACAGGTGTATATGGAGGAGTTATTGCAAACTACTGTCTACCTTTTTAACAGCTCTCTCTACTCTGTGCAAGTATTTTTGTGTTTGTTGTGAAGATACAACAGCCTCATAGTACCTGCAGTGTATTTAAGAAGGTGTTGACTATTTTGACCCAGTATTGACATGAACATGTAGATGGAATTTAAAAATCCCATTAATACCAGTACTGTGGAGGTAGCTCCATGTATTACATGGTGTCTACAATGTATACAATGTACATTGTACATCCCCAAACAAGTGGCACACTGGATAGTGTTTCTGTGAGTTACTTGTGTTTCACCCCCATACGATCGATTGCCTCCCAAGTATTTCTATGAGTTTCTAGTATTTCATCCCTGCCAGTGAAACTGTTTGTTGCAGATGCTGGAGTGTCAGGTTGTAAGACAACTGTCCAACTGTAATGGTGACATCCTAGTAGATTGTGTTTCTGGGAGTTGATAGGGTTTCAGCGGCTTCAGGGTCAGTTGCCTCTGCAGATTGTATCTCAGAAATAACAGGGAAACAGTTACTGTTTTGGACACAGTACGAATGGAATAGGGGAATATTTTATGTGAAAATACTTGCCTGTTTTCAAAGGACACAGATGAAATCTTTTTGCACAAACTTTGGAATGAGTGAGGACTGAAACAGGACTCCACAACAGATGTGGGTCATACAGCAATAATGTATTATCTAGATTTCTAATGTTAGAATTGTTAGAACCCTGCTTAGTTGGCCAAGCCTTTTATAGGAGTAATTGTGGTTTTATCTGTGGTTTATGTAGCTTGGTGGGGTTAACTGTTCATGGAAGGAAAACATCCTCAAATCTCTGTAGGAACTGGAACTAAGCTGATTCTCTCCTGACAAATTAGGATCCCACCTAACCCACCTAATACCATACATCAAGATGGTTTGGGGGCACCATAGCCAAGACTCATCCAACTTGGCCCAGTCCTGTGGAGGATAGATAAATGGCTTTTGGAAAGCCGACTCCCCTGACAGAGCTACTGCCGTGTAGACATGTCTGACTGTAACAAGTAACTGATTGAACTTGTCCATGATGAGGGACAGAGGCTAAGGGAGGTGGTGTCAACAGCATTCCCCACAAGCCTGCCTGTAGCTGTTGTACTTCAACCCTTTAATGTACATGTACATTTAAGATAAAAGTGGTGGGGAAATGTGCAGTTATTCTCCCAACAGAATTTTGAATGACCTTTACCTGTGACAGAAACTAGATCATACAAGATAGCTATATATATTTCAAACCCATTTCTACATGTAAATGTATCGTTTTGATTAAAAGAAATGTTTCTAAACTGTCTTTGGCCAGATTTTCATAATGTTCTGCAATAATACAAGTAAACAGGACAACAGGTTTGGTTTGCAGGATGGGAGAGCCACAGTTATGTCAGGGATGTGCAGGGATCTGTCTACACTTTGATCCAGGTCAGTTGTTGGGATGGCAGGGAATGCCATATCTACATGCCTTAGCAGTGGCCCATAGCAGACAGTCATGATGACAAAATATCTCTGCAGAAAACTTTCTTTGTCTCCGAATTGTTGGTTTACGGAAAGGTCAGGCAAAGCTTTTCTAACACGTGGACCTTCTTAGTGCAACTTAGAATTGCAATCCTGGAAGAGTCATAAGATCACAATCTGCACATTCTTCGTAAGGTACAAGTTCGCTGTGGCATCCTTATAGTCATTTCCCTCTTACAAGGGCCAGCAGACATCTGCTCACAATTTCAACTTTTTTGGTACACATGTGTCTAAAGAATAGACACTGTCTGTGAAGGTGTTGCACCTTGCCCAGTCTTCTTTCTTACGTTCTCTAGAAGTACTGTCATGGCATATTAACAACTGCTTTGGCTATTTCACCTTAGATACCAAATGGAGAACACATGGATGACCATAAAAGTTAATGAAAGGCAGCATTATAGTCTATTCCTACTCCTAGTCACATAAAAAGGAACAACAAAAGTCACCATAATTTTTTATATGATGAAATGAAAAACAACAGAACCAGAATGGTTTGCTTGCTTTCCTGGAATCATGGATCCTTTGTCTTGCTATGGACATGAGACAGATAAATGAAGACAATTGCAACAGGTAAGGTTTTATTTTGAATCTATCCTGTATGTAGAGACCACTGCAACCTTTAGAGGTCTCTTGATAAGTGTCTGTCCTGACATTCCATGGAAGGTCCCCTGGGCCCACATTGCAGCCCTGTCAGGTTTATACCACAGCCTGCTGCCTCCCCAATGAGCCTTATCTTCTACTGGCAATCTTTTAATTAAATTTTTGGTAGGGTCAGAGGAGCATGTTGTTCTTACCTTTATGACACTGTGAT